ACGCACGCACGCACGCACGCACACACGCACACACACACACACACACACACAAACACACACACACACAGACACACACACCTGCCACCAGAGGCATGGCAACACCTCGATCCTCTCCCGCCCACGGTCCCCACCACCAGGTGGCGCAGCACTCACCGATCTGAAGAGCTTCCCTCACTGCCTTTTGTTTATAGAGGTACTCCCCCTTCTGGAATTCATCGGCGCTGCCGTTCGCCAGGCACGAGTACAGTCTGAAAGCAAGCAGCAGAGCGTTAGAGATGAGATGTAGAATGAGAGAGAGAGAGAAGAAGAGAGAGAAGCAGAGATGTAGAGAGCAGTGGTGAAAAGAGGAGATGTGAAGAGGCAAGCTTGGAGGTAGCTCCACCACCCTTACCTACCCTCCTGTAACAGCAGCAGCAGTAGCAGCAGCAGCACCACCCTCCCCTACCCTCTCCTACCCTCCCCTACCCCCTCCTACCTTCTCTACCCTACCCTCTCCTACCTCACGTACCCTCTCCTACTCTCTCCTACCCTCACCTACCCTCTCCTACCTCTCCTACCTCCCCTACCCTCCCCTACCTCCTCTACCCTCTCCTACCTCCCCTACCCTCCCCCTACCCTCCCTCCACCCTCCCCCTCCCTCACCTGATGTCCTCCTCGTTATCAGGGAAGCTCCAGTAGGCGATGCGTAGCTGCAGTTGCTCGGGTACCGGCGGGTAGAAATGTTCCCCCACCCGCCCTCCTACCTCCCCTACCCTCTCCTACCTCCCCTACCCTCCCCTACCCTCCCCCTACCTACCCTCCTCTCCACCCTCCCCCTCCCTCACCTGATGTCCTCCTCGTTATCAGGGAAGCTCCAGTAGGCGATGCGTAGCTGCAGTTGCTCGGGTACCGGCGGGTAGAAATGTTCGACGACCTCAAACGGGATGTGACACGCAGCCTCCTTAGCTGCTAGCTCCACCAGCGAAGTCACCCTGCCATCTACGATAGATAGATAGAGAAAGACGTGTTGTAATATTATATATATATATATTATTATATATTATATATTATATTATTAATATATTATATTATTATTATTATATTATTATATTACCCTGCCATCTACGATAGATAGATAGATAGAGAGAGAAACCCAACGTCAGATGATGCTCTCTGACTGTCTCACATGACACATTATTACACTGTCATCTACCAAACACAGAGAGAGAGAGGGAGAGGGAGAAAGAGAGAGAGAGATAGAGAGAGAAGGAGAGGGAGAGGGAGAAAGAGAGAGAGAGAGAGAGAGAGAGAGAGAGAGAGAGAGAGAGAGAGAGAAGGAGAGGGAGAGGGAGAAAGAGAGAGAGAGAGAGAGAGAGAGAGAGAGAGAGAGAGATAGAGAGAGAAGGAGAGGGAGAGGGAGAAAGAGAGAGAGAGAGAGAGAGAGAGAGAGAGAGAGAGAGAG